AGATGTTTTTCTGGAACTCCTAGGCTTTCTCCATGATCCAGCATATGTTGGCAATTTGATCTCTAGTTCCTTTGCCTCGTTGAACCTCTGCCTGTACTTCTGATAGTTCTCGGTCCACATAGTGCTGGAGCCTAGCTTGTAGGATTTGGAGCATAACTTTGCTTGCTTGTAAAATTAGTACAATGGTGCAGTAGTTCGAACATTATTTGGCATTGGCCTTCTTTGGGATCGGAATGTAAACTGACCTTTTCCAATCCTGTGGCCACTGTAGAGTTTTCCAAATTTGAATGTAGCACTTTAACTGCATCGTCTTTTAGGATTTTGAATAACTCAGCTGGAATACTGTCACCTCCACCAGCTTTGTTGTTGCTCATACTTCGTAAGGCCCATTTGACTTCACATTCCAGGATGTCTGGCTCCAGGAGCACCCCATTGTGGTTATCAGGGACATTAAGCTCTTTCTTGTACAGTTCTTCTGTGTACTCTTGCCACCTCTTCTTAATCTCTTCTGCCTCTGTTAGGTCCCTGCCATTTTGGTCCTTTATCATGCCCATCTTTGCATGAAACGTTCCCTTCATATCTCCAATTTTCTTGAAGTGATCTCTGGTCCTCCCTATTCTATTGCTTTATTCTTTTTCTTTACACTGTTCATTTAAGAAGGCATTCGTATCTCTTCTAGCTATTCTCTGGAATTCTGCATTCAGTTGGGTGTATCTTTCTCCCTTGCCTTTTGCTTCCTTTCTTTCCTGAGCTATTTGTAAAGCTTCCTTGCATTGCTTTTTCTTTGAGATGGTTTTAGTTGCTACCTCTTGTACAGTGTTGCGGACCTCTGTCCATAGTTCTTCAGGCACTCTGTCTATCAGATCTAATTCCTTAAATCTATTTGTCACCTCTACTATATATTCATCAGGAATATGATTTAGGTCATACTTGAGTGGCCTAGTGCTTTTCCTTATTTTCTTCAATTTAAGCCTAAATTTTACAGCAAGAGGCTCATGATCTGAGCCACAGTCAGCTCCTGGTCTTGTTTTTACTGACTGTATAGAAGTTCTCCAACTTAGGCTGCAGAGCACATAGTCAATCTGATTTCTGTGTCAAACATCTGGTGAGGTCCATGTGTAGAGTTGTCTCTTGAGTTGTTGGAAAAGAGTGTTTGCTATGACCATTGTATTCTCTTGACAAAATTCTACCAGCCTGTGCCCTGCTTCATTTTGCACTGCAAGGCCAAACTTGCCTGTTATTCCAGTTATCCTTTGGCATCCTACTTTAGCATTCCAATCCCCCATGATGATAAGGACACCACTTTTCTAGAAGGTGTTGTAGGCCTTCATAGAACCATTCAACTTCAGCCTCTTCAGCATCATTGGTTGGGGCATAGACTTGGACTACTGTGTTGTTGAATGGTTTGCCTTGGATTCAAACTGAGATTATTCTTTCGCTTTGGATATTGTATCCCAGTACTGCTTTTCCTACCCTTTTATTGACTGTGAAGGCCGCTCCATTTCTTCTGAGGGATTCTTGCCCTCAGTAGTATACCTGATGGTCCTCTGAATTAAATTCACCGCTTTCTGTCCATTTTAGTTCACTGATTCCTAAGATGTTGATGTTCAGTCTTGTGATCTCTTGTTTGACCACGTCCAGATTGTCTTGATTCGTGGATCTTATATTCCAGTTTCCTATGGAGGATAGATCTTTACAGCATCGAGCTCTCCTTTCACCACCAGATACATCTGCAACTGAATGTCCTTTTGGCTTTGACCCAGTCGCTTCATTCTTTCTGGCACTACTAGTACTAGCCCTCTGCTCTTCCCCAGTAGCATATTGGACACCTTCCGTGTAAATATGAAATGGTGTAAATTAATGTCCTGCAAAAGCAGGAGATTGGACCTGATGGTCTTCATGGATCCTTCCAACTCTACTCTTCTGTGATTTTATGCATATGACCATGTTTTTATGCACTTGAGTTTCCACTCCCACTATCTCCCCCCCCCACACACACACACACATTGATCTTTACAAAATAGCCTTTAAATCTTTCATTGTTCTTTCAGTCTTTCAGGATTGTTTTTGTAACTTAAATTTTGAAGGACATTCATTCATAAGGTTACCAGAAGACAGAGACAACTTGATGGCAGGCAACAAAAGAAACTGTAAAAGTAGAATGGGCTATATATCATTTATCTATAGGCATAGAAAGTTATAAAGCAGTGGCACTGAAGGTAGAACTGTTTTGTGTGGTATCTAGTCCTGCCTTTCCTTGTGTAGGGCCCTCTGCTGCTTCCATTCTGCATGCGGAAAGCCCCACGACTTTGAGTGCACTACAGTCCCCTTCTCTTGCACAGCAGCAGTTTAGTGTTTATAGAAGCAAACCCCAAAACAAGTGGAAACTGTCCTTTTCGCAAGGAGGCAGTTTGATGGCTCTCCCTTATGAGTTTCACTAATATTCCCGTTTACAAAAACAAATGTTTCCATTCATTTTGTGATGTCATCCTCCTGGGAAAGCACTAACCAGCATTACACAAGCAGTGGGAGCCACTTGCACAGCAGAAGTGCATACAGGCCTCGATTCATGCAGTTTGTCATGATTAGATACTGCCCTTTAGGAAAGAATGAATATATATGTGTCTTTTAAATGTTTGATCTTTTTAATATAGTTTCTCCAGTTAGTAATTAGCAAGGGCCAATTTGGAGTCTTTTGCTGTGGTGCAGTAATCCTCTGTGCAATAACAACAAATATTGTTCAGTGCAGCAGACTTCTCTGGAGAATTAAGCTGCATCCAGAGATACTGATCTGCATGCACAGTTAATAGACTGATAACTTTCCCCTTCAGTTTTAGGATGCACCATAACTATAAAAGAAGATAATTTTGCAACTAGTGCAATCTTTTGGAATGGGGATATAAGGGTATTCTGGAAAGCCCCAGAAGTACACTAACCTCAACAATTGGAACACAAATAATGTCAAGGCTGTTGGCCTCTTGTTAAAGAGAGGCAGATTCTACTACAGAGATGTGAGAAAAATGTTGTTTCCTTCTAAAGGTTCTAGGCATGTCTTAGGAATAAAAATCTCTCTCTAAACCAATTTTTGCCTTGGGTTTTCTTGAAGCTTGCATTTTGCTCTGCAGTTATTTCTTGGATTTTATATAGTTTACCTTCATTAACAGGAATTCCTAGTGGCAAAAACGCTTCTGAATATGTCTATGAATATGTTCAGTGTAGTATCACTCTTTTCTAACCTGAGGTACTCTCAGCATTTTGGCCTTAATGTTCCACCAGCCAGAGCCAAACTGTCCAGTGGATGGGAATGCTTGGAGTTGTAGTCCTGAACATCTGGAGGGTACCATTTTGGGGAAGAATGGTGTAAGAAGGTGTTTTGCTCATTTATAAGAACAGAAAGTACCTTTTGTTTTATCACACTGGAAAACTAGTACAGTGGTACCTTGACTCACGAATGCCTCAGTTCATGACCAAATCAGGTCACAAACAAAAATTTCATAAAAATTTTTAGGTTGTGAACTCCTCATTGGGTAGCAACTGTGATCGCAGCTGTCTTCCCACCCCCCAAGTGGGGAGACGGCCGTGATTGTGCTGGGGGCGGTGGGGGGAGGGAGATGGCTGAGATAACGCCTGTCTTTCCTGCACGAGCTTGCCCATGATTGCGCCCATTTTTCCTGCATGAGCACAATCACGATCTCGGCCATCTCCCCCCCCACCAGCAAGATCATACCTGTCTCTCCCCTCCCCCCCCCCGCCCAGTGTACCCACGATCGATCCCATCTCTTCCCCCACAGAGTGCCAGGATGACGGGTGCTATCACGGTCGTGCTGCGGGGGGCGGGGAGATGGCCACGTTTATGCTCAGGATGTGGGGTGGGGAGATGGCTGCGGATCTTTGTTGTTCTTTGTCACTTTGCTTCACATTTTTCTGATTAAAAAAATAGTTACAGAACAGATTAACCTTATTTACATTGAACCTTATGGGGAAATTTAACTTGGCTCACAACCAATTTGGGACATGACCAGAGTCCTGGAACAGATTAAGTTTGTGAGCCAAGGTACCACTGTAGAGTGTATTAATTTTCATTTCCTTTTCTGTAAAGGCTTCGTTACTCTGTCCGACTATTAAAACGTTACCTATAAAGCCAAAGTATATTATTTTAAACTTCATTAATGGTTACTATAAGCCCTAAACTTAAGCACATATATCAAAAATTAAATGCAAATATACTTACATACTAATGTAAGTATCCCCAAAATCAGATAGTTATTTAGTTCTGTGCAGCTAAGTAACCTTGTAGTATATGTAAACTGGAATTACTATCCCACTGAAATTAGTCATGTTTCCTCACTATTGTGTGGAGGAACAAATCAGAATGTGTACTCTTAACTTTTTCAATGTTCTCAAGTGTTTGGACACCCACATGTTGGATATTACATGAGCAGAGCTGGCCAGACTAGATGGCCCAGGAGGCCCCTTCTGTCTTGTCATGTTTCTATATTTACCTTGATGTCTGTGAAGGAGACCTAGTCCTTTTCTCAGGTCCTTTAATAGTTTTCTGCTTCAACTTCTTTTTATTGGGGGTGGGGTGTGTGCGTGTGCGTGTGCATGCACTTTTTGGGTGGACAAAGTTAGAACATCTGGTGCCCTCAAGATGCTTTGGATGCAATTTACATAATTCCTGACTATCAGTCATGCTTTCTAGGTTGCTGGGTATTGCAATCCAGAACAGCTTGCCTATCCCTGGGTTAGCTAATATTTGTCATATTTCATGTAGATGTATTGAAATCAGTGTTACTTAGTCACTTTGTCTCCCATTGATTTAAATTAATTAAAATTAATTAATTTGAAGCATGATTAAAGTCTAGATCACACTTGTTATGCATTATTGATTTATAAATGCCTCTTAAACTTGTTCCTATGTTTGTTTTAAACTACCCTGAGAACATAATAATAGTGTAGAATGCATTTCTTTCTGCTTTGTTTCATTTGTATATTTTTAGGTGTAAGACAAAAATATATCCAGATAACCTTCCTACAACAAGTGTTGTCATTGTCTTTCACAATGAAGCTTGGAGTACTCTCTTGCGAACTGTTCATAGTGTCATAAACCGGTCACCACGACACATGCTGGAAGAAATTATTCTGGTAGATGATGCTAGTGAAAGAGGTAAGTACTTAAGCTTTGATTGTATTGAGTGCCATCTGTGTATAGTGCACAATCCAGTCATCCATTTGGATAGTTGTACAGCTACCTTGATGCAAAAGCAGAGAAACACGTGTATTGTTGTTTCATCTGACTCAACTTTGGTGACATTAAGCAAGGTACAGTCTTAGGTTCCTGGACTCTTACCAGGTTTGAAGTCCTAATAACCAGTTTTTGTAGGGCTGTTTATTTTCCAAGCTTGTTTATATTGAAACACACACACACATGCACACATAGAGCTGCATGCATGCATACATACATACATACATATAGAAGATGAATCACTTGAAGCTGCTCTTTCAAAGTTGTTTGAACACTCCATAGTGTGCATATTTGAAATATAGATTACCCTGTGGGTACTCTGGCATGCATAAATTGGTTCTCATTAATGAATGCCTGTCAAATCACTTGGGGCTCAATCCTATGTATGTTTAGACAGGAAAGTGTCCTGCAGATGCTGAGAGGTGTTGGACTTTTTTTTGGTCTAAACGGGCAGGGGATTATGCCTAGTACTTTTCAGTTGGATTTTGCAAAGGTTTTGATAAGTTCATTCACATGCTGTTCTTCCTTTGAAACTCTGATAAACTTCTTAAGAACAGTCTTCACCTCTGTGTAGAACTTCACATTAACTCATTGAAGTAACATTAGAAGAAGAGGTGTTATGCAAGGTCTGATTTTTTTTTAAAAAAAAGCTTTTTAAAGAATATGCTTAACTTTTTCAAACTTGTAAATGTTAAAATGTGGTATTAAACAATAAAAGTAGGAAATGTTGCTTGCCTTTTTTTCCAGTTTTAGTTAACTGTGATAAGTTTCCTTGAAATAACTAAAACAGAATTTTATCCCAAAGAATTAATTGTGAAGTTTTATTAAACTGAATGTTATAGGCAGCACATGCAAACTTTATTCATATGCTGGTTAAGTATTCTGCACTGCATACAGACATCATACTTGGAATAGACTCATTCAAATTGTGAGATATAAGTTGGTAATGACTAGCAAGTTCCTTTCATTTTATTAGGGATTACTTACTTTAATCATGAATAAGTCTGAACCTATCCCATAATTTTCTGTTTGCAAAATAAATTAGATTTTCACAAAAATAATTTCAAAGCTGGAAATAATGTGTTGGATTTGGAGTTGGATGCATGTAGTTGAGCTAGCAGCATTGGGCTCCTTCCATCTCCTGACAGCAGCCTTAGAGCCTTCTGAAAATGGTACAGTGTTAGAAGGCTCAGCTGAACGCAGTAAGCCATGAAAAAGCGGGGACCCCCCCCCCCACACACACAAAATCTTCAGGTATATACATCTTGCATGAGTAGGGTTCTTTCCATCAACTGAAGGCAGATCTGGTGAGTTTTAAATTCTATCATTAAGTGGTCAGATTCAATAAAGCATGTTTTGCCTGCAGCAGATTTTGTACCTACTGTTGTGTCTCTGCAAAGTTGCCTAAAATTTATATTTTCACACATTAAAGTGGTTCTGAAATTTTTATTTTTTTATTCTTGCTTTTATATGCTGCTCCTCTACTCCTAATGGAGTCTCTGGACAGCTTACAATATTTAAAATAATGCACTCATGCAAACAATAAAAATAATCCAGTAAAATAAAAACATTAGTTAATATCACAATATCAATAAATAGATTATTAGGATAAAATTGCTTGGGGTAGAACGGAAATGAACAATTAATATGATCATTAAAACTAGTTGTTAAAATTGTTATTGATTAAAGTACCTGGAAAAGAGAAATGTTTTCTCCTGGCACTGGAAAAAGAGTAATCTTGGCACCTGACGAATTTCTCTGGGGAGCTTAGTCCATAAGGGGGAGGGCAGCCACTGAGAAGGCCCTTCTTTTATTTTCCACCCCTTTATCCTACTTGAGTGATGGCTCTTTTAGAAGGACCCCCTGCCCAGATCTTAGTGACTGGGCATGTATATACTGGGGAAGCCATGAGTCCTCAAACTACAGGCCGGGGGCCAGATGTGGCCCGCCATGCCCATTTATCTGGCCCGCCATGCCCATTTGGACCTGCCACACCCGAGCGCACGCCCGCCGCCGTCCACCTCACCCCACGTGCGGGGAGGCAGCAGTTTTCTCACTCGGAGAAAACGATCTCCAAGCGAGCAAGCCACTGCCTCGTGCTCCCACCTCGTGGCGCGTGCCCATCTCACCTCGTGCACCCGCCCGCACCTTGCCTCACTTCACCTCACTTCGCCTCCCCTCACCCTGTGCACCTGCCCACACCTCACCTCGCCACGCGCACCCGCCCGCACTTTGCCTTGCCACGCCGCTCCCCTGCCGCCCCCTTCCCGGCCCACGTGCACCTCTGGCACCACCTTTCCTGCCCGTGCCCCGCACCAGCACCTTTCAACTGGCCCCTGGTGGAAAAGTTTGAGGACCCCTGGGGGAAGCTGTCCTTTAGGTAGCAAGTTCCTAAGCCATTTAGAGCCTTTAAAGTTCATTTTTGTTAGTGGTAATATTTTTTACAGAGTGGGAGGGAATCACAATAAGTAACTTAAAAACTGAACAGCAAGCTAAGCTACTTTGTTTTGCTTTCATGGGCTCTAATTCCGCTCAAGTGGGTTATAGTCCAGCTAAATTTAAGTACCTTTGAGCCTTTTTCAGTGAGAGGTATCTAAATATGTATTGAGTGTTCCTGTAGAGATCAATAAGTCTTAAAACTTCTCTTTGGATAAATCATGTTCAGGATAATTCAGTAATAATGCCGTTATTATTTATCTTTTTTGTTTTTACAAAATGTTTAACCATAATAACACTTCAGATGGCCATGTAGAGGCCATTTTAGCAATGGCGTGCATATATTAATTTAAATACAACTGTCAAAATTTTGTTGTTACTTTTAGAGCTTGTATATTCTGTCAGAATAATCCCACATAACAGAATGAGAATTGTGTCTGCCTAAAGCTGTTTTTGGAAGCTTATGAGAGAAACCTTTGTTCATCTGTTTTGTTACATAGTTTACTTATTTAGTTGTCCTGCGACTCTCAAGCTGAGAGCTCATCTCATTTAGACTAAGGACAATGTAGACATTTTGACAAATTTTCTCAAGAGTAAGTACACAGAGGATGAATGAAGCATACAAACAATTATCTGCCTGTGTTTTTCAGACTTTCTGAAGAGACCCTTGGAGAACTATGTGAAAAAGTTAAGAGTACCGGTTTATGTGATTCGAATGGAGCAGCGTTCTGGACTGATTAGAGCCAGATTGAAAGGAGCTGCCGCCTCTAAAGGCCAAGTCATTACTTTTTTAGATGCACATTGTGAATGCACAGTAGGGTGGCTTGAGCCTCTGTTAGCACGGATAAAAGCTGACAGGTGGTTATTTTATAAAACATGTTAAAGGTTAATATTTACTAATTCAGCTAAACTGTTTTATAAAACATAATTGGCATCCCTGGAAGCAGTAGTGAACTCTGAAAGTCCTTAGCATTTAAAAGTGTGGTAGAAGAGTACTTACAAAAGGATTAACTCAACACAAGCAGCAAAGTTTGGCTATCTTCCAAGCAGCCACAAGTCTATAATTGATACATGGAATTGGAAGTCTGAGATAGACTGTTGTGAACTATGTTATGTCTTCTCCTTACAGCATGCAGGTCCCTAGAAATCTATCAAAATAGGAACAAATAGGATGCCTACTGAATCAGACCATTGGTCCATTTAGCTCAGTATTGTCTACATTGACTGTCAGTGGCTTTCCAGGATTTCAGATAGGTATTTTCCCCATTCTGTCTGAAGGTTCCAGGGATTAAACTGATGATGTTTTCTGTGCAAAGCATGTGCTCTAATTATAGTGCTGCAGACACATATCCCTCTTCTGGATATAAATGCCTTGAATCAGCCAATATTCAGGCAGTGCATGTATGCATAATATAGTACTCCAGACAAGCAAACAAAATGACCACCAATAGCATATCCAGTTTGTACATTGTCACAATCTATTTTGTGGTTTATGAATTTTAAGAGATTTTGTACATTTAAAATTAAAAGATCCTTTAAAACTTTATTCTCTCCCCCCCAATATATATATAAACAGATTTTTACAATGTGAAAGTTTTCAGTATAAAATAAAAGCATCAGACACAAAATAGGAGTATGTTACAACTCCACTTGAAAACATAACTGAGACCATTCAGGAACTTCACCATGGATTAGCAATAGCACCTGTGTTCCACAGCCAATAAAGCTGCATAAACAAACATCAGGGCTTGAAATAAACATCATGGTTTGTAATATTAATATTCTGAAGTCTAGGCTGTGTGACAGCAAATACTGGACATGGGAAGTCTTTATTGACTGAGTTTTTGGAATATAATTCTTTTTATATTGGTGAAAAAGAAATGTCTCTTTAAAAGATATAAGGAGCAGCTGGCTAATATGCAACATAATGAAATATATGGAAAATCTTGGTTCCCTCATCTGAGGGAGAAACATGTTGATAAAGGGAATGTGGTGAAGATCTCTGTGTATTTATCAGCTAAAACCCAATATCAGTGTAAAATACAAGATGAAACAAGCCATGATTCTTATTAAAACAGCCTAACTATAGTATATACATGCTGATTACTAATCTGTGTTGAGTTTTAGCCTTGTTCTTGACTGGTCCTGGTTCTGTTTTTAAATGAAACTGTGACCTGTTCTTATTTATGACTGAAGCTGGTGCTTTGTACTAAAATGCCTCACTTTTGTAAACATTTTAAAAGGAATTTTAAAGTTTAAATCAGAGAGATTTCTTAAATTTTAATTTTTAAAATTCCAAATCTGTAAAAAATTATAAATTGGTGATCATTTTGTTTGCTTTGGAATACTGAAATATACACAATACATGGCTTGTATGTTTGCTGATTCAAGGCATTCATATTCAGATGAGATGTGTGTGTGTGCATGCATGTGCAGCTTGGTGACAGATTGATTTGCTTGCTTATAAATACAATGGTACCTTGGCTCACAA